TTTATTATCCATATTTGTTTTTTTGTTGTTATTTTGGCGGGATATCTTTGACTCTCAGCCCTTTCTTTGAATTTTTTTTCCTGTCTTGTTTTTAGTTTTGAAGACGTCTTTTACTGTTTCTTTTTGGTTTTATTTACTGATTAAAGCTTTTTAAAATGGCTTCTCTTTCCATTTATTTTTATTTTTGTGACGATACCGGTTGCTTTTTTATTTTTAACATGTTTTCTTCATACTACATTGCTCCTGTTTCTTCTGTTTCTTTGGCTTTTATATTTAGAGGCTTCCTTCACTGTCCCAGGTTGTGAGGCAATAAAAAATAGGATCGTGGGGTCGTCGTGTGTGAGTGAAGTTTGTCTGCTGGTGGGCCCTGCCACTGAATAACCAGATGCAAAGCTTGTCACTGTGGGGTCTAGATGTCAGTTACTGTCTCCAGGGCTGATCACAGTTCCTTTAGAAAGGAATTTTCTGGCTTCCTCCTATGTGTATAAGCCTGGCTTCTGTATCCTGGATTCTGGCATTCTGGAAGCAGATGGGGACCCCACGTTCTGTTTTGCATTTAACTCCACGTACTATTCCTGAGTCTGATGTTTTCCTGGTTTATATTCTTCAAACAATACATACAATACATTGTTGTTTCTTTAGGGATGAGGATGGCAGTAGGCAGCAGGATGTTTGATTGATACATGGAGTTAAAATCTGTCCTCTTCCCATCCGCATTCTGTCTTGTACCTCCAAGCTTAGGACCTTTCTGGGCTTCTGTCGGTCAGTCAGATCACTTCTGCGCACTCTCCTGCTACAAGCACGCAGACTGTGGATTCCTTCCCTCTCACAGATGGATCACAACTCACACACATGCTTTCTATATTCCAGAGATGTGTTAATGTCATTTCCTTTTCCTGCTCTCTTCGTCCTTGTAGATTTGTTTCATATTTATTCCTTCTGTGTGTTTTTAGGAGTTAAAGGAAATGACTCATGTGGCTAATCAACCACATTTAACTGGAGCTCAAAAGCTGGCTCTTTGAAAACACTGATGAAATTGATCTTTGGTGGGCTTGATTAAGGAAAAAAACAAGAAAGCACAAATGCACACTAGCAATGTGAAAGGAGATATAAGAAATGTAAAAGGGAATATGAACTGTGATTTTATGATGATCAATTTGAAACTGTGGCAGAGTTGAGTATTGTTACAGAACTGTATGGCCCACAAAGCCTAAAATATTTACTGTATAGCCCCTTACAGAAAGAGACTGCAGTTGACCCCCAAAGTGCTAGACTGGATAAATAACCTCAGAAGGGATTGGAAAGGATATTAATGATCTTAAGAAGGCTCCTGCCAGAGAGCTGAGTTCTGAGTTCACTAATCTTTGAGGGACAGGTAATTTCCCCAGTCTTTAGATTATTTCAGACCATAGATAGAATAAGGTGGAAAAGTCTTTTCAAAATGACATTATTAAGCTTTTTTTTTTTTTAAGATTTTATTGGGAAATTGGGGGAAGGAACAGTGTTGGGGAATCAGGAAATCAGGGAAGGGGAACAGACAAGTTGCTGTCCTTTGGTTCTTCAGTCTAGTTGTGGAGGACGTCGCTTCACTGGCCCATGTTGGTATTGTGATCATTGCGCTCTTCCTGGGTGAGGCAGATCTGTCGTCGGCCCTTGGATGGTGGCTCACGGCAGCTCACAAAAGCTCATGCCAGCTGCTGGCCAGCCCCACTGCAGCCTACGTGGTCACCGGCGACTCATGGCAGCCCAGCTCCAGGTTGAGCTGTTGTTCACCATCTTAGCTGTAGAGGGTAGTGTCACTGGCCCATGTGGGATCCAAATTGGCGGCCCTGCTGCTCAGAGCTCACTCTCCCAAGCCAATTCTTAACCAACGAGCCACTCGGCCGGCCCCAGACATTATTAAAGTATTAGTATACAATGGTCATCTTTTAAAGGAACCTTGCTGGTGTAGGTTATTGTTTTTGCAGTTTTTTAAAATGGTTCATATTGTTCATGCAGTGATAACTGAATGTGGTACCATAGCTCCCAATGACCAAACACGCTCCTTCTGTCTCAAGGGGGCAGTGCAACATTTGTCTGACAGGGTTAACTGATCCCTTTGACCACACAGTTTCCTATTCAGTGGCATCTTAATACCATCTGTGAACATTTATATTAGTTCCATTTCTGTGTTGTAGAATCACCTCATTACTAGGAAAAAATTGAGAGAGAGAGAGAGAGAGAGAGAGAAAGAAAGAAATCACGTACGTATGTGTACACGTCTTAATCTTAGTCTGCCAGGTTTGAAAGAGGACAGATCAGTCTTTTCATTTCTGTTAATCAAAATAGTAGTTAAAACTAGTTATTTTGGAGTCATTAGAATAATATTGCTTACAGTATTATTGCAACAAGTTGTACTAATCTATTAATTGTAGTGTTACTGTGTACTCTGTTTTCAGATATTTCTCTTTGTTACTTTGTGAGCAGTAACACTCCCCACTTCTGAGACTGTAGATAATGTGATGGTTTTGAATTGTCCTTTGTAAAGCGGATCCTCTGATATCCATAGTTGTATCGAGTCAGCAAAATGGTGAACTGAGTTGAGGGATTCCCAGGACCTGAGCTGGAGGTTGCCAAGTCAGGTTCAGTGATTTGTTAGGACTCGAAGAATTCAGAAAAGCTATCCTCGTGGTTACAGCTTATTTCAGAGGGAGGATACAGATCAATATCAGGGGAAGAAGGCATGTAGGGAAGGGCCCAGGAGACACTAGCACAAACTTTCCGTTGTCCTCTTTCAGTGGAATTGTGTGGGCAGCACCCCATTTCCCCAAAGATAGTGTGTGACAACACTCAAGGAGTGTTGCCAGCCAGGGAATCTCCCTGGAGCCCTGGTGTCTGGGGTTTTTTTTCGGGGGGCTGGGGAATCAGTCATGTAGGTATGGCTGACCACTGTGTGGTTGACCTTAGTGGTCAGCCCCACTAGAGGTCAAACTGATACCATGTAGCCCAAGGCCCCCACCATAGATCACATCATTAGCATAAACTATTTGGGTCAGTCCACAGCTTCAGCTAAAATCATACACCCTAACAGGCAGGTGTTCCAGGAACTCAGAGGTTACTTCCCAGGTGCCAGGCAAGGGCCAAACTTATCTCTGAAATGTACAGGGTTTGGACATCCCAGACCTGCTAAGTTATTATAATTCTTTACTGTGCATCACCAGATAGCAAATTCCACATCCATGTGTACTTTCCCTACTGCCCCTACCAACACATTTTTAAAAGACAGAATCCATTTCAACCCATTCAACAGTGCAAATCTGCCAATATCCATTGTTTGAATGGAGGAAAAAGTTCTCTCGGAAAGGTCATTATCAAGCCTCATTTGGATTAGATCAAATATGTCAATTTACATCCTATGTTTACCTTTAGGCTTTGGAAGTGGAGCCTGAGTTTGCGTCACTTCTTTTGCTCAAGGGTATTTGACCCTTGAAAATCCCTGTTGCCCTGTGCATGAAAAATTGAGTGATAAACACATGGAGCCAGCATCTTTCTGCGGATCAAATCCATCTGATGAGAGGGCACAAATTGGGATAGATATGGTCTTGGGTCAGAATGTCATCATCTTTATCTTTTTTTTTCTTTTGTGGAACATGTTTTTTGTTTTCTGGTAGGCACTTTGTCAGGTTATAAAAGATTTTTAAAAAATACACATCTCAGATTTCAAGAAATTGTTCATAGGGTTTTAGAATCCAGAGCAGTTTTAAGGCTACATTGGGGAACTTGAAGTTACCTTGAGTTTTGTGTTTGGCTCAGATACTGGATGAGTTCAGAAGCGATGCTAATGCCGACTGGAAATGTTTAGACTATAACCTAAAGTGTGACTGGTCTTTGTGAAGATTTTTGGCTTAAAAAGCATACAACACTTAACATTAAAAAAAATTTAGGGCCGGCCGAGTGGCGTGTTGGTTAAGAGTTGGCTTGGGACGCCAACTGTGAGCAGCAGGGCCCCAGTTCGGATCCCAACTGAGGGCGAGTGACGCTACGCCCTCCACAGCTAAGATGGTGAACAACAGCTCAACATGGAGCTGGGCTGCCGTGAGTCACCGGCGACGGCATAGGCTGCAGTGGAGCTGCAGTGGGCTCCCGTAAACTGTGAGCGGCAGGCAGCCGGCGTGAGCTACCAAGAGTCGCCGTGAGCAGCCATCCAGTGACCGGCGACCAATGTACCTCACCCGGGAAGAGCGCAGTGATCATAATACCAATATGGGCCAGTGAAGCGGCGTTTTCTACAACTAGACTGAAGAACAAAAGGACAGCAATTTGTCTGTTCCTCTTCCCCGATTCCCCAATAAAATCTTTTTGAAAAAAATAAAAAATTTCGTAATGGCAGGGGAAAAGAATAAAATAAAATTGGCCACTGAACTCTGAATACATTTTTAGTCTGTTTTTTTAAAATAAAATTTGAGTCACATACCTCTATACTTTTGTTCTTTTCACTCAGCATTGTGCCTGAGCAGCAGTGTTTTGATAGATGGCTGTCAGACTTTATTTTTAGGCACAAAGATCTTTCTCCTTGCAGGGATGGGATGGGGTAGGAGGCGCAGACTAGTGCTTCCTGCTTGAAAGTGGTCAGCATTATATATTATATCTTTATTCGGGACACCACTCAAGGACTGCTTATGCCAAGGTGTCACTTTGTGGCCTCAACCTGGGACCACATCCTCTCCACGCAGGCGGTTCCCAGCCCTGGGGAGAAGCTCTGAGCAAGCTGAGTTGAAATCAATGGATACTGACCCCCCTCCCCCAAAAACACACACACCACCACCACACACTCTGAAGACTGAGTGTCCCACTGAGTGAGTGTGCTTGAGCATTGCATCAAAGGTAGCCAAGGCTTAATTTTACGGGAGAGTGGCAGCCAGTTTATAAAGCTGTTCTTTAGTAACACTGGCCTGTAGTTAGCTGAGCTAACTTGACTCCTTGCTTTTATTAAACAACTCCTTTGTCCCTCTCACTCACAGAGCTCTCTGGCCGAGACCTTGGATAGCACTGGCAGTCTCGACCCCCAGAGATCGGACATGATTTACACCATAGAAGACGTTCCTCCCTGGTACCTCTGTATATTTCTGGGGCTGCAGGTAAGATGGTTGCTTTAGGATGTAACCACCAACAGACACTTGAATTGTCTGTCTGGAGTGTTTTTTAAATTCAATTTTGATCTTTATATATTGACAACTTTATTATAAATTAATTCTTTTAAGGATGATAAATGGGAATTCACATCCATGTTTTAATAGTGAAAGGAAGAAAAACAGGAGGAGTAGGTTCACCAGGGAATGAAAGAAGCAAATGTTAGGGAATAAAGAAGAGACGTGACATGGAAGAAAGGACAAAAAGATCATAGAGCTATAGAAAGAAGGAAGAAGAGAGGGAGGAGAAAAATAGAAGAACAGATAAAAAAAGAGCTTGTTTCAGCTCTCATTCCTGGCATAGTTAACCAATCCATAGTTATGGTCAGTTCTAGCATGGAACATGGGTGACACTGAGAAGCGCCCTGTTGGCCAGGTGTAAATGGGAATGTTCAGTCTTATTTTGAAAGGAAGGCAACCTTTGCTGTGGTAGCAGCTGCTTTGTCTGAGCAGTTCCCAGTGGGAGCAGAGCAGGGAAGCTGCCTGGGAGGCTGGGGATTGGGGCGGGAAGTGACCCAAGGTGACACAAGCCTATGCAAGGCTCCTTGTCTTTGGCACTTTCTCCCATCTCTTGGCACCCTTTCCCCACTGACAGACTGAAGTGGGGCTTTAGGAGAAAGGGCACGAGTTGGGAGGCTCCTTTCCAGGATGCACCCGCCGGCCTGTGATTGCCTTGGTTGTTTTAGCTACGACTCTGTTTAGAGGTCTGACTCACCATTCTTCTTTTCTCAAGTTTGAGCAGTTCAATCTGGGGTGTTTCAGATGCTGAGAAAGTCCATCTCATTGCCCAGACGGGTTTATTCACTTGGAGGTGAGGCTGTACCTGTTGACAGCTGATGCCTTGGTCTAGTTTCTAGCCCCTAACCGTGTAGGTGTCAAAGCATTTGGTAACCTGCCCTGAAAGGTGCCTGATAAAGGAGGAGTTGTGACCAAAGGAGCTGCGTGGTCTGGGTGGAGAATGTACCTTGGGCTGAGAGCATCCCAAGCCAGATTCAGGAAACCTGCTTTGTGAAATGTTTATATTATCGATGTTTCTCGAAGAAATCATCCTAAGTCAAATGGGATGGGGAGACCCTGCATGCATCATGCCCTTCTTGGCTTGTTCTTAAGCTTGTGAGCAGCTCTGAGAAGTCCTGGGTAGGAATGTTCTGTTTCCTCCATGAAACACCTGGTAATGTTATATATTGGGTTGTCGGAAAAGTCATGACGTATTGTGTCTGTGTTTTTCGTTGCAAAAAATGCATCATGATTTTTCCGACAACCCAATAGTTGGGCTTTATGGGCTGCAAACAATACATTTAGGTAAACAGGAGCAGAGATGGGGAACTATTGGGAAGAAAATTAGGGTTTGCAGAGTAGATGTAGGAACTGAATAAGCCGGCCTCTGGGAGGAAGGGAAGTGAGCAGTGGTTGCTGGGAATGTTCTGCCAGGGCCGCAGGCATGGAGGTGGGGTCCCCAAAGGAAGAGTGGGATTGGCTTTTTCTGGAGCAGGCCCACAGCTCCTGCATGCCCTTAACCCTTCCCTGATTGTTGTCAAACAATGCCAGGCCATAGAAAAAGATGGAAAACACCCTGTTTAATGAAGCTTGTGTAACTTTAATCCCTAGACCTGAGAGAATTAAAAACAAGCAAACTCAAAATCAAAAACCTCGACTAATTATCTCAATATCAAGATAAAACCTTACATTAAGTATTGGCAAGTCAAATCCCAGAAGAAAGATACAGCAAGACTGACTAAAGGTTTTGTCAAGACTGGTTCAGCCCAAAACAATTCATGTTAATAGATCAGAGGAGAAAGACCTATAATTTTAGCAATTGACGCTGAAAAAAAGCAAATAATCCCAGTAAGAGTTGTGTAAGTAAAATATCACCAGTGCTTGCGTTGAGTATTTCCTTTATGCTGGCCTGGATTCATGTGAATGGTAAGTAACAATACAAGCGAGTAATAAGACAAGGAAATGTACTAGAAAGGAGAAATGCTGAAAAAGAAAAATGATTGGACGTAAAAGTGTGTACCTAAAAAAGCCAAAGAGTTTCTTCATGTGGGCTATTTTATTTTATTTTATTTTATTGGGGAATTGTGGGAGGGGAACAGTGTTGAAGAATTGGGGAAGGGGACCAGCCAAGTTGTTGTTCTTCAATCTTCGTTGTGGAGGGCGTCAGTAGCCATCTGTCTTCCTGTCGGCAGCTTGTGGCCTCTAAGCTCAAGGTGCTGTGTTACAATCTTAGCTGCGGGTGGGCGTAGCCACCATCCCATGTGGGAGTAGAACCAGCAGTCTTGTTAAGAGCGCACGCCCTATCCACTGAGCCATCCGGGCAGCAGCTCAGCTCAAGGTACCAAGTTCAGTCTTAGTTGTGAGTGGGCAAAGCCCACCATCGAACAGGCAATCTTGTTGTTGCACCAGCTGAGCCATCTGGCCACCTGTTAGCAGCTCAGCGACAGCTCAGCTCAGGCACAGCGTCACTGGCCCATGTGGGAATCAAACCGGTGGTTCTGTTGCTCAGAGCTCGCGTTCTTAAGCCAACTCTTAACCAACTGAGCCACTCGGCTGGCATGTGGGCTATTTTTTAAAATCTGTGGAGGGGAGGGAGTTAGGATGAAATCAGAAAAAGGACGAGGAAGGGTTTACCCTTTCCCCTCTGTCTCCCTGTCACCCACAGCACTACCTGACGTGCTTCAGTGGCACGATCGCGGTGCCCTTTCTGCTGGCCGATGCCATGTGTGTGGGGTACGACCAGTGGGCCACCAGCCAGCTCATTGGGACCATTTTCTTCTGCGTGGGAATCACGACTTTGCTGCAGACAACATTCGGATGCAGGTGAGATTGGGGTGCTAAAGTGAGATGCTGAAACCCCTGGAAGGCATCTGGCAACACCATTCACCTAGGGCTGCTTAGAAGGACGGACTGGAGTGGCAGGAGGGTTTCCTACTGAGCCTTCCCTACCCCGCAGACCCCACCGTGTTTCTTCTCTTGGTGGATGGCACCACCTCCCACCCAGTTGTGCAAGCTGGAAACTCAGACTCACTCTCAGCTTCTATCCCAGCAGCTGGCAGGGCGAGTTCTCTCAGCAGTACCCCCTCCCGCCCCACATTGCCTTACTTTAGGCCTGGACTGTTCCACTAGCTTCCCAGTTGGTGTCCCTGCCTCCAGGGCTACTTTCCATGCCCCACTCTGTGCACCCGCCCCCTGTGCCATCTTTCCAACATTTGCATCTTCCTCAGTGCTGCCAGGCTATAGTCCTTCTCCCTGTTTAAAAATGGGATGTACCCCC